CTGACTCCTTGAGTTCTGGGTCCTCTGCGCACCACCAGGACGAAGAGCTCATAGTTTCTTGTTTGCTTTTGTTTGGTTTTGTTTTGGCTTTGGCCGTGCCACGTGGCACGTGGGATCCTAGTTCCCTGACCAGGGATCGAACCTGGGCCCCCTACGTTGGAAGCGTGGAGGCTTAACCACTGGACCGCCAGGGAAGTCCCCATGGTGGTTTCTTGTTGAATAAGATATAAATCAGGCGTTTATATGCGGGTATAGGGATATATCACCCAACTCCCCTGCAGAAATTTTTTAACCATAAATTAAGGCATTTTCAATACAGGGAATATCCAAGGAGGTAAAAATTAATTCTTTAGGAGGGGTGAAAAAAATCTTACTCTTCTTATGTGCAAAGCACAGATACACCTATAATACACGAACATGAATACAGTGCATCTGTGGTATTAAGGTTTCATGGGAGGGGTCCCTGGAATGGGGGAGATGGTGATGAGAAAGATGGGGGACGCTGTTGTCAGTCCACTTCCTGTGGGAACAAGGATCCAACACGCTCCCTGTAGTATTTGCTAAACTGCCTTATATCGTCTTAAAAATAATTCATCTATGTTAACTGATAAAAGAGTTAAATATGTAGAAAGAACTGATTTCCCAGATATGAATACCCTCTACTGGGAAGAGCTAAACTCCTTAGAATCTGAATGCTTACAGAATTCCACTGTTTTCCTGACAGAATTCCATTCCTAGGACAGCTACGGCATCACAGGAAAGGCATCATGGGGCAACGGTTCAAAGGAAAAGTCACGGAAGGCCGTGCTCGGTAGCTTTGTCAGAAGAGGTGATCACTCTTCAGACACTGCTTTTGCATAGGCTTCTTTGTAAGGGGAAACGATGCTTTGCTTTTGTGCTATTTTGTTTTCCTAAGTCACATAACAGGTAAGAGAAGAAGAGATGCTGACACTATTCTTAGCTCTCACAGACAAAAATAGTGCACGTCAGGGATGGCTGTCTCCAGATTCCCCGAAAGTTGGTGGAGAGGTTGACATATGAAGTGTGCCACCTGCCTCTCCTCATCCCAACCCCCAAGGAGGCCGTCCTGGGCGAGGACTGAGACGGGACATGCCTCCCCTCTGCAGGGCAAGCCCACTCCCTGGTTGGAAACACTCAAATAGGACAGTAACACAGATCCGCCACAGTTAAAAGTGACGACGTTACTACCTGCGTGTCCTCAAGGGCAGGCGCCTGTCTGCGACCTCCCCGTGTCATCACGGACCGGAGCACACGCCAGAGGATGGGAGACGAGAGAAGGCACACGCTGCCTACGATCCAGACGTCTTTTCTTCTAAGTGAGAAGTCCATCCCTGCCTTCCCTCCCCGACCCAGCGCGAGCACGTTCCCAAGCAAAACTCTGTTCTGAGCAGGAGACGTTGCCCAGCCGCAGGGCTCTGCAGGGCCCCAAGGGAGACTCTTCCAGTTACGCCATCAGCGGGCAATCTGCCTCTTTAAAAGGAGAAAATAGGATGGCCCATGTGACAGATCTGAAACAGGTGCAGCGGCAGAGGGAGACGGGCTGGCGACAAGTGACACCCCCGAGAATGTGCTCGTCTCCAGTTCAAGGACAATTAGCACCACGGAAACTGGGCCGCCGCCAGGGAGCTTTCTCCTGCCCTCGCAGTCCGGCGAGGAGCACAGAGACGGGGTGGGGACACGCAGCCCTAAACATCACAACCCCTCCACCCGCAGCTACGCTATTCTGAGACCTAAGTTATAGTCACCATGGCTGCCGCTGAGGGTCCAATTTCATAGCGGTTAGGCAGGAAAGGCCACCTGCGATCAAATGTGCCAACTGCCGTCACGCTTTGCCCCAACCCACTCTAGTCTGTTCACATCCTGTTGAGGGCTATCTTGTTCTGTTTGGTCTTTGGAGCATTTGGAGCGGTTAAACATTCCAGGGGCTGTGATCCCGCCCCCTTGGGACCGTCCTCACTTCTACCCTCCCCTCGGGACCGTGCCTGGGAGTGGAGGGTAGGGGGCTAGGGGTCTCAGGAGAGCGGGGGAAACCAGAGGACAGGAGATGAGCACAGATAACCCCGGGCACAAAAAGCAGGGATGCATACAGCAAATGGGGGCGGGATGCATACAGCAAATGGGGGCGGCCGAGGAAGGCGGACGGAACCGCGGGGATTTGGCCTCGGGTTGTCTGAGAACGGAAGCTCCTTGGCCTTCCATTAAGCAAAGAGAATGTGTGTGTGTGTTTGTGTGTGTGTATCAAAACAGCAAATTAGATCTGAGGGAAATGCAGCACAGGGCTTATTTATATAGCTAATAGAGAATGAACAAAAGAGGAAAACCTGGATTTGACTGTGTAAAAGTAATACTAATTATAGTTATGAGAGCCGTTATCATTTACAAGTTAATGGTACACACACAGTAGCTATTAAACTCATCACTCATATGTGCCACATTAGTTATTTAAGTTTTACTTTATTTCAACACCATATTATGTGGCTTTAGATCTAGCTTATTATAGTGTTATCTGCTAAAAGCCTTTAAAATTCTACACTATTTAGGTGATTTTGAACAGCCTTTGGAATATAAAAGAATGAGAAAAGTCAACTGAAAACAGAATCAAAAGGAAAGTTGGAAAACAAAAGGAACAAAACATAGTCGAAAAGTAGAGTATGTGGAATGTAATCAATTCAACAAAAAATAAAGCAGAGGAAAAGAAGGGAGTTCAAAATAAACCCAGAGGAAGAAAAATGAGTGAAATAGAAAAACCTGGTTAAGAGCAGGAAAAGAAGAATCTGGGCTTCACCAAACTATGTTAACAAACATAAGTTGTTGGATGCATAGATAATTTTTTCCTCTTAGGAGAGAAAAGACTCTTCTAGAAAGAAATTGAGCCTCAAGCCTTCAGAACAGTTTGCGTGTCACTCGAGTGTCTGAAATTCAGTGTAAATTCTTGTCAGTGCACTGCAGGGAGGGTCTCGACTACGGTTAGCTAAGCTAAGCTTCTCAAGGAGAGGAGGGGTAAAGAGAAAGGGGGCCAGGTGGGAAAATGATGAGAGCATTTTTATGGTTCCTGGGAGGAGGGTGTGGTGTTGGGAAGATCTCCCGTGGCCCAGCAGGAGACTGAGCCGAGTCAGTCCAGCTCCGTCTGCATTCCGGAGGACATCCGAGCCGCTGGAAGGCCCTCCTTGCCCACCCCTGCGAGGCCTGCTGGCCGCCCGTGCATCCACCCACTGGGCGAGCGAGGGCCTCTGGGGCCGGGGCCTGGGCCTTGGCAGACACAGAAGAGCTCCGCACCTCCCGACCATGTGCCCATCCGTCCTCCACAAGGCGAGACAGAGAGCCGGGGAGATTGCCGACATCTCTGGGCCTTGAGCCATTTACCAAGAAGAAACTGAATGGGACACACGGTCATTCCTCCCCACCTTCCACACAGCAGTGACCGCAGGGTCCACACCAGGGCCCAGGTGACACAGGGGACATCAGACCAATCACAAAGGACGTTCTTCTAGGGTCTCTGAGGAACAACATTCTCAGTGCTTCCCTCAAAAATATCCTAAAATATTCAACTTCCCAGTCATTTGATTTCTAATATTCTGGAGCGGTTCATCACACAAACAATTCTTCCTAAAAATGTTCATGTTTCTGCTAAGCACCATTTCGCTCTTTAAAGATACAGCCTCTACTTACAAAAATTATATCACAGAACCTGAAGAAAAACAGTCCTGGAAACATAATCAAATTCGTAGAAACTATTGCCAGTGGTTGGTTATTTCACAGTTATCCTGTAAGAATATTGTGTCTCCTCTGTTCTACAGAAATCAGTGAACAAAAGACTTCATTCATTTGTATTCATTTGTATTGTAAGCAGCTCTAATGAGGAAGCCCTCATATCTGACTTAAATTTTGCCCGTGGAAGTTTCTTCTTGGTGTTTGCTGAACAAGATGTTAGCTCATCAGGAAAGTGGAGTCTCAAAACACCCACGTTTCCACCTGACTCGTTTCTTCTATCATTCACGATGAAAAGAGTCCTCCGCCCCTTACATCTAACAGCTTTAGTTCATTGTCTACTGCATCGTTAGAAATGCCCTTCCTACCTGGACAGGGGTTTTCAGAACAGTAGCCAGACAAAGAGGGACGTACTCCAAACCGACCTAAGAATCACTTGCTCTGATTATTGAACATAATGACCCCCAGCCCTCAACCAGAATGCAGGACTCACGTAAATAGACCTGTTTGTTCCGCAAACATTCTTGGGGCCTATTTGGTGCCGTGACCAGGAAAGCAGCCAAGAATGCAAGGTGGAGTGAGGTGAAGTCCTGACGTTGAGGAGGGCATCCAGAGAAGGGTGACAAACAAGTTCCAAACAACTGCAGGTGCTAGAGCGAGGCCCACGCCAGGCGGGCAGGAAGGGTGCTCTGTGGATGGTGAGGGAGACCCAGCGAGCTCAGACAGGGGACGGGGTGCTGCTGGCCGACACCTACTGAACGCCTACCCTGGTGACAGAGCCTGTGCTGAGTGCTTTGCATACATGCAATGTTCCAACAGCTACGGCCCCACTATTCAGACAGGCAGCCCCCGGGCTGGTTTAGTAACTGCCCCAAAGAGCAAGTGGCCAGAATGGGGCTCTGCATGAGGTGTGCCGTCGGCCCTGACTCTGACCGCCACTGTCAACAGCGAGGACCTCAGGGTCCTGAAGAAATTAGAAACTTCTGCAGGGCAATTGTGGCCCTCGCAGTGCTTCTCTGGATTTCATGCCCAAACCTATCCTTTTAAACCATCCTTCCTAAGAAATGTGTGTTTGCATACGTTCACCATCGTAACCTGTAGACCAGCCACCGGGCTGAGGAGCTGCCTGCAAGGGAGAGGTGCACGTTCAAAGGCCTCCGAATGACTTCTGACACCCGCCGATACACAAACCTCCATGAAACAAATGGAAGTTTGCCTGTTCACGAAGTTTCCTTAACTCTACTCAAGTGACCAAACAGAGTCAGAAAACGGTCGTATAAACGGCGACAGGTATTGCTTTATGTGAGAAAAGATAAAGTAGAACTGACACTTTTCAGGAGACTAAATTAGCACAGTTACCTCACTCTTCCCAGATCTCGAATCCTGTTCACTAGAACTTTCTTCCAGAATACACTTCACTTTCTCCACCTCTTCCATGCACTGAAAAAAGGCCATTTTCTCCAGCTGGTCACTGTGGTAACATGTGCTGATTTCTTCCAGCCGCTTCACTTTCAGCATCTTGGTGGTGAGTCCGACTAAGTTCCTGTCTGGTGTGTGGTGTTCGTGCCCCTCCGCCTCCGATTTGTAAATCAGGACGCAGTCGTGACTTCTGAGTCTGCCTTCCCCTTGACTGCAAGGAGGAGAAACAGAGTTCTCATCACCGACTCACACATTTGACTCTGTGGGAAAATGACCACTGGGAATTTAGAAGTCGCTTCTATTTAAACAGAAGGGACCCAAAATTAGGAAGAGAAATGCAAATATCAATACTGAGTTTCAAATGCTGGAACTCTGAAAGGAAAAAGGTTTCTTTCCCCACTTTTTTCTACAAAAGCAAACAGTAAGACGCCACCTTAAGTTTCACTGGGCAACTACAATTTTCCCTCATTACCTAAAATAAGTGTTTATGTTAAGTTTATGTTAAGTGGCTGGTACAAGTATGGGATACAAAGTTTCTCTGGGTTTAACTGGATTTGCTGGTTTTGCTCCTCCTGGCCCTGGTGGGAAGGGCTTGCTGTGTAAGGAAGGGGCTCTCTGGCGCTCCCCCCGGGAATTCTGTGCCCTCGGAGGAGTGCTCTCCACCAAATGAGCCATTTCCAGAGCCCCTCTCTGCCTACATCTTAAAATGTTTGCTGCTTATTTTCAAAAGAACTTCGTTTCCTAATAATCCTCTCACACAGATTAAGATTCCCAGATACCCTTCTTTGCATCCTCATTAGCAGCTAAGTACCAAAGATTTCACACCCTTGTGCTTTCCTTGAACTACTTCCCTTACGAATGTAGGTGATACATGTTCTACTGCTCTGACACTGAAGACCCACGCGATGTATGTGCCTGTGCATCTCCTGATCATCAGGGGAGACCGATGAGAACTTGTGGCCAGTTCCCTCCTGAGGCCCCCTGCTGGAGATTTTCTGGAAATTGCTTCTTCCAGCTTTTTCTCAATTTGAAATCATCTGTAATTAGCTCCACAAAACGTCGTCTTTCATTTTCTCAACTCAGCTAGTAAAAATAATACCTTGAGTTACAAATTATTTAAAATCCAATGCTCTACAAACTTCTACTGAACCACACAAAGACCTTACATTTAAACACACTCAAATGTAAGCAGGGTCAGCCAGAGCTCTGTAAAATACACCATAGACCGTCATCAGTGTTCTTACAAGTTGCCCTGAAAACAGTTATTATTAAAATAAGGATTTCATGACTACGTCTAAGACAAACTACAACTAAAATCTAATGTGTAATTGTAGATGGTATTCAAGTTGGCTCAGGAAGCCACATAAAATTAACATATTAAAACAAAAGCTTGGGTCCAAGATATAAAAATTTTGCAGAGAAAATATTAAACGTTAAGCTCTACCTGGAGTTTGGTACAACTTGTTGTTTAAGGTGATGTAGAAAGACAGAAAATAAGAGTAATTACCATTTATAGGAGGACATGCTGGGGTCCAGACCATTCCAAGTGCAGAGTATAAGTTCCAGCAGATAAAAGGGAGTTTGCAGAGTTCAAAACAACTGTGCAATTCCCTGGTAAAAGTCTTGACTCCCTGTCAGAGTAAGTCTTCTGAAAAGACAAGTGTCCACTCTGAGAGGAAGTATCCTCTCTCTCAAATGCCACTTTGAGCCCCTGTTTAAACTCAGATGGTCCTTGATCTCATGTTGCTCAGCTGTTGCCTTCTTAGTCAGATGGGGAAGAATATTAATTTTAGACACCAGGCTTTTCAAAGCTGACGGCTCCATTTCAGAGGTCAGGTAAGGAGAGGACAGACCGTAACAGTGGATGAAATATCACCTTCACCTTCTTGTCCCGTCAGGGTGGCAACACACTCAGGACTACAACGCTGCATTTGTCTTTGCCATCAGACGCCCCGCTCTCCTGCCCGTTTCAGACTCGGCATTTAGGGCACGCTTCCAGCCAGAGGGTTTAGGTGAGGGAACCGCACAGCCACCTTTTTTGCCCACCTTACACTTTGAACACAACCAACTACAGTGGGAGAGAGCTTCTGATGGCCAAAGCACTCTGCAAGTCCTTAAAATTATTTGCAACATCTCCAGCTGTTTACAGCACAGGGAAAGTTCAAAGGCACAGGCATGAAGGGGAGTCACAAGAACAATAATAAACTCTCCCTACAAGCGGCACTCTGCCTTCCCCTGCCTTCCATCACGGGCCAAGGAAAGAGAATCCAGTGCCGGCAAACCACCTGCCTGATCCCAACAGCAGCGGATGCCTGGATTTCCTGAAGTTGCATAAAGCCTTGATTCCCCAGAAAATCAAACTAATAATACAAGCGATCCTGCAATTCTTTAGCTTTCACCTCTTCAGAGCCTTTGCCAACCCCTCCACTCCCTAACCCAACACCAGTCTCTAGTGCCCTCTTGCTTTTCCAAAAAAAAATCCTTATTTTTAATTCAGATCAATGTATTCCATATAAAATAAAAATACGTTTTCATTTTGAGTAGCATATAAAGAATTATAGCAAGATCTTTAAAAAGCCAAACGTTAGGTATTTTTCTAGGATTAGAGAACTTTGCTCTTCAGGAAGAACACCTAAACAATATTATGTATTTGTGAAAGATAAATTATGTGACACAATTGTTATGAAAAGACTGAACTTATTTGAGGTTATCAATTTTCCTCGGAGTAATTAAACTGTGAAAAAGTACTGATTAGGTGACCAATCCCCACACCCAAAGAAAACCATGTGTATGGCCTTTGGCTAATTTGACAGTACCCTCTACCCAGACCATCCAATCAGTGGAAGCAGACTTTCTGTCCCCTCGGCTCCAGCAAACCAGCCGCAGGCTCTAATCAGCTAGAAGTCAGCAGAAACTGCTCCTTTGCATATTTCCTTAATAATTTTTTTTATATTAGAGTAGTTTAAGGTCTACAGAAAAGGTAAAAAGTGAAAGGATAGCAGAGAGTCCCCCTATGCTCTGCACCCAATTTCCCGGATTTTTAACCTCTTACATGGGTATAGTACACTTGTCACAATGAATGAATCAATGCTGATACATTATTATGAACTCAACTCCATACTTTATTCAGACAATGAGTTCTTCCCTAATGTCCCTTTTCTCTGTTGGAATCTCATCCAGGATTTCATATTCCATTTAGAAACTCTAGGATTTATGATGGATTGGATACAGGGAGTGAAGGAAAGATGGTAGGCAAGGATGACTTTCCATCTCTTTTCCTGAGCACGTGAAGGAGAGTTGACATTGACTGGGATGGAGAAGGTCATGGGAGGAGTAACTCTGGGGGAAGTCAGGCCCTCAGTGTTTGACAGGTCTATTAGACGTCCGAGTTGAACAGGCTGTGATATAGAAATCTAGGCTTCAGGGGAGAGGTCCAGGCTGGAAGTCATCACACGCAGATAAGCTTCAAGCACAATATGTATTCAATGAGCATCTGTCAATTGATTACTAGAGAGAAGGTTTTTAATTATGTCTATTTGTCCTAAAGGAAAAGTCAATTAAAAGAACCCATGCTACTTGCCTTCTAATAGTAAACGACAGAAGTGCAGTTCTGCTGTGTCACTATTTCTAGCCTCTGGCGGCACAGAGGACAAGCAGCCTGGTACAATATGGACCACCAAGAAGAACAGGTAGTGCATGCATACCCACTGTGGTCTACCCACCTAGCCTCAGCACCCTCTGTCCATACCCATGAAATCACTGGAACATCTTTAAAGATGCTCTAAGGCAGCGGTCCCCAACCTTTTTTGGCACCAGGGATGGGTTTCGTGGAAGACAATTTTTCCAGGGACCCGGGGAGTGGGGGAGGGTTCAGGCAGAAACGCGAGCGGTGGGGAGCCATGGGGAGTGGCAGATGAAGCTTCGCTCGCTCGCCCGCCACTCACCTCCTGCTGTGCGGCCCCGTTCCTAATGGGGACCCCCGCTCTAAGGCGTGGAAAAATTCACAGTGAGGCTAGAAGCAGCCCCAGCGGTACTCTTCCTGGATTGCCCTCATATTCTGGAATTGCAAACCTTTTTTAAATATACTCACCTCAGGGGCTTCCCCAGTGGCGCAGTGGTTGAGAGTCCGCCTGCCGATGCAGGGGATATGGGTTCGTGCCCCGGTCCGGGAGGATCCCACGTACCGCGGAGCAGCTGGGCCCGTGAGCCATGGCCGCTGAGCCTGCGCGTCCGGAGCCTGTGCTCCGCAACGGGAGAGGCCACAGCAGTGAGAGGCCCGCGTACCGCAAAAAAAAAAAAAAAAAAAAAAAAAACTAACCTCAGGAAAACAGCATTCCACAGAGCCATAGAAATTGTGATGCTTTTCAAGGGACATTGACCAGCAAGAGACCGTGCCGTCACAGGAGCGGGCGAGGCAGGCATTGCCAGTGCCTCTGTGTGCTGGTCGGCGTCCAAAGCAGCCTGGACAACGCTAATGGTTTCTGCGTGTGCACAGCATTCGGAATGTCTCAGAACAAGGGTTCTTCAACGTCTACACACACAAGTGGAGCAATCTTCACAAACACCAAAATGCAGGTGAAAGGCATCCCTGTATCCACATAGCTACTGAATTTTCTTCCTTTCAAAAAGCACCACTGAGTATGATTGGTGAGAGCAAAAACTGATACACTGCACTTCACCAAAATTCAAAATCTGCTCTTCAAAAGACACCATAGGAAAATGGAAAGACAAGCTACAGACTTGGAGAAAATACTGTGAAATCATTTTGATAAACGATTTTGATATTTGATAAAGGAGTCATATCCTGAAACTCTTACAAATCAACAATATGATGACAACCCAATTTTACAAATGGACAGGAGATCTGAAGGCTAGCTTACCAAGGAAGATAAATAAAAGAAGTTAATATGCACATAAAAAATGCTCCGAAATCTGTCATTAGAGAGATGAAAGTTAAAATCACAATTAAATAACATTTCACACCCGCCAGAAGAGCTATAATAAAAAGGCAGCAGAAGGGAAATGCTGGTAAGGGTGTGGAGTCACGGGAACCCTCAGCATAAAGGTCGGAGGGAGTGTAAAATGGTGCAGCTGCCTTGGGAAATAGTTCCTTAAAAAGTTATTCCCCATATGACCTAACAATTCTTCTCCCAGGTATCTTCCCAAGAGAAATGAAAACATTTGAACACACAAAGCCTCGCATGCAAATGT